GGTGTACTGTATGTCTGCATGTGAGAGTATCGGTGTACTGTATGTTTGTATGTGAGAGTATGGGTGGACTGTATGTTTGCATGTGATAGTATGGGTGTACTGTATGTCTGCATGTGATAGTATTGGTGTACTGTAATGCCTAGTTGATATATATGTATCAAAATAAAACAAATTGGAAAAAAACCCTTCCATACATTATTTAAATCTAGGTGAATAATTACTATAGTTTTAGTCCTAACCATAACGTTTACACTCTCAAATAAGGTAACTGTTCTTCATTTTATAAGAGATCAATATTTTTATTTTCGTCAGAACGTTTGGAGCGGGGGGAGCAGCAACAACAGTACACGGCAGGAATCGCTGACAATGTTGAACACCCTTGTAATATCACCATTACTGTCGTTGGTCAACATGGAGTCGGAAAGTCCTGTTTCGTCCGACAACTCAAACAAGAATATATTCCGGAAGGCGGACCAGGCCCGACGGATACCGCTGATATCTATGTCAACTATATGGGCTACAACCCAGACACCGGTTTCCAACAGAAACTCGATATTGACGGAGAAATTGTGACTAGTCGTCAGCGACTAAAACGGATAATAGATCGATACCGAGAAGACAAAAAGACCTCTGTACAACCGTCCTCAAGTGATAGCCAAACGACACCATTACCAACTAACGGCGCGGCTGCGTCATCGGCTGCGTCATCTGCTGCAAATAGCACAGGTAACAGAAAAACACATCAAATAAATGTCATCACCTTGTTCATAATGCAGTTAAAACGAATCCTGTGATCGCATACTAATTTAAACCATTATTAGGGTTTCAAAATTATATCGCATCTTTTGTAAATAACATAATATCATCTTTATACACTTTTACCACCTAGCGGTAGTATGATAAATTCATTCCCATAGGTTGTCAGTATGTGAATACTCAAGAAGAAGTTAAGAACGACTTGGGAACAACTTTAGAAGAACTTATAAACGATTTTTCCCATTTCCTGGCATTTGGGAACGTATTTTCTCTTAAAGAAAACGTCTGCTCGCGCCAAGTGACGTCTAACCGGAAATAGTATTCAAACAAAAGTTATATACAGTTACGAGGTCATATTCTGAGGAGAACAACATCATTCTGGGCGTAAATGTGCATGTTGAAAAGCCAATGGCGATAAGTTTGTTTTAAAAATATTTTTTCGACATAATTTTAAGGTTCATGGTATTTCCTCCGAGCAAATCTTCTATTTGTATACGTTTGTCCCAGACCGATGTTTTAAGATCGATGACCATTGAGCCTAGAAGTCATTTGGAAAATAAGTTGATTTTTTACGGATGGAAATATGTAAGGTAGTAATATATAGATGATAATCTATAATTTTAATTAGTATTTATTTAGAAAAAAATATTAACGCATACCTCTTATTATATCTCAATTGCATGAGTTATTTCATATTTTTATTTCCAAATACTTGTTGCATCCGTATGATTGTATTTGTTATTCAAACAAAATCAATCGACAAACATGTCATGTTCAAATGGATTAATTAACAGGCAAGTCTGTAAGTTCTTACCATGAGTAGGCATATTGATACAAATGACAAATACTGCGGAAAATGTATAAAATAATAAATGAGGGGAGATAATGGCCATCTATAAAAATGAAATTAAGACTCCTATTACAATAAGTGTACAATATACAACCAGTTTAATATCTTTGATATAAACTCACAATCAGGAAAACAGTAAATAACTAATAAATCCACAGATAAAATATTATCATACTTCCTCTGCAGGTGTCATACAGAAATTGAAACGACTCTTCTTAAAAATATTCTCCAGAAAGAAAGCTACAGGTAAGGTACAAAACAAACTTTATTTTCATGAACGTCAAAGCTATCAACAATGAGTAATCGGATAAACGAAACAATGATCCATAATTCATTTGGATTTCATCAGAAAAGCACGACATGAAAATATCGACAAAATATTTACATTTGCTCTGCATCCTTCCATTGTAATGCATTGAGGAGGAAAATGTTTTTTTATGAGACTATAACAACCTTTGCTATTGTGACGTCATCAATCTCGTTTGTGACGTCATCAATTTCATTGTACCTACTTTTAAAGAACTGTTGGAAATAACTAAATACTATAACTACTCTATCAAAATGTAGATATAAATTATGAATATTTTAGCAAATATTGGTATGGTCCTATAACACGCATTGCTATTGCTGACAAACTTACATAAAGCCTTATACAGATTGTCATCAATAGCCAGGTGTGTTAAAGGACTTTGAACAAAATTGCTGAAATATACCCGGCTCTATCTAAAACTTTTACTGAAAGTTTTAGATGCATTGTTTATATAGCCAAGTAATATACATTGCAAATACCCCTGTAATTATGTATACTAGACATTACAAATACCCTTTAATTATGTATACTAGACATTACAAATACCCCTGTAATTATGTATACTAGACATTGCAAACACCCCTGTAATTATGTATACTAGACATTACAAATACCCCTGTAATTATGTATACTAGACATTACAAATATCCCTGTAATTATGTTTACTAGACATTACAAATACCCCTGTAATTATGTATACTAGACATTACAAATACCCCTGTAAGTATGTATACTAGACATTACAAATACCCCTGTAATTATGCATACTAGACATTACAAATACCCCTGTAATTATGTATACTAGACATTACAATACCCCTGTAAGTATGTATACTAGACATTACAAATACCTCTGTAATTATGCATACTAGACATTACAAATACCCCTATAATTATGTATACTAGACATTACAAATACCCCTGTAATTATGTATACTAGACATTACAAATACCCCTGTAATTATGTATACTAGACAGGATAAATACCCCTGTTATTATGTATACTAGACATTACAAATACCCCTGTAATTATGTATACTAGACCAGCAGGGGGTTCGTGGTTGTGGATAATATTATTATCATTACCATGGTTAGCACTTTGTTTATGTATTGAAATAATTCGTTCAGAGGAAGTTCAACAAGTGGACCTTTGTAGTGAACAGAGAAGCGTTATAGGGGAGGTAATGCGCACCGATTTAGATGACAGAGTTGATGAAACGAAGGGCTACGTCACCATCTACGACTTCGGAGGGGAGAAGGTGTTCTATAACACGCATCATTGCTTTATGTCAAGCAACATGGTCTTTGTCCTGGTGTTTAACGTGGCTATGTGTCTGGACCCCAGCACAGCAAAGGATGGTTACGGTAGGGTTTAAACTATTTTTACCCTTTATAACTTTTTCAATTGTCCTTTTGCTTTAATCTTAAAACATGTCTTTGTTTTATATTCTCTATAACACACAAAGTGACTATAGGCCTTTCTGTTTCAGGATGACGCAAAGTTGTAAGCGGGTTGAGTGTAGGAGTCTCTTTTCCTAGTTATGGAATAAATCTATAACTCATAGATATGTGAATTTATGTTCAAGTTGTAGCTTAAGCTAAAAACGTATTTGGCGCGGTAAATCCGATTTTGAAGGAAAATCTACACATCTAAAACCTTTTCTCACTGCAACTCAAAAGTGATAGCAACATTTTGCTTTAAAAAATTTACCATCATCTTGAACATATGTTGTTATGTTAACACTGTTTCAAAAGCAAATATTTCCTCCGGAGATGTTTATCATGTCTTCCGATCGGCTGTGACATTTTCTTGTAATGCAGACTTGATTAAATAAAAAAAAAACATGCATGAACAACATGAGCGTAAGTTAGCTAATTTGTTTGAAGTTTTTTCGTTTCGTTCAAATAATAAAAGTACAGGCCCCATCGGATATGAACAACTTATTTTTTTATTTTAAAGAAAGTATTGAGTCCTGGTTGAGGTCTATTGCTACGTATGCAGTTGACAAAGCAGTACAGGGAACAGGAACGCCTCCCATCATTCTTGTTGGATCTCACTTGGACAGCGTGTCTGAAAACGTAAGGATTATAAAGCATTATATATATTATTTTGGTTCGAAAACTTATAAAATGGTCTTGCATGGTTAAATATTTTTGATAGACAGACGTTTTTTTACGTTTTCTTAATACTTGGAATTTTGTTTGTACGACTAATAAATTGAAGTATTTTTTCAAAGTATTTCTATTTCTGTTTTTAAATCCGCATGTTACAAAACCAGCTGCTTGATATTCCGTCTTTGCGTATTGCAGAGTTATCTTCTCTTGTGACCAGGTATTGATTGTTACGTCATTGGTTTGTGTGAGAAAATTACGTCGTTTTCTCAACAATTGATGACGTTACTCTCACAAACAAATGACGTAACTATCAATACCTGCTCACAAGAGAAGATAACTCTGCAATACGAAAAGACGGAATAGTGCTATTAGAGAGCTTTCTCGAAATCCCCTTTGTTCATTTTACTCAAATATTTGGAACACTAGTTTTGAAGGAGCACACTTCATCACGTCTACAAAAGTGAACCTCATATTGATTATGCAGTCCTCTGCTTGTGTTAATCACATGGGCAAGTTATACGCGTATTTCTGTGTTTACGCCTGATATTGGTCCAGACACAATCAATAACATGGATTGAATATGAGTAATTTAAAAACATTTGGAAATTTGGCGAATCAAAGGGGTACATTTACTTTCTTCGGACTTAATTTTCATTAACACGACACATAAACAGAGGCACACTGTAAAATGACTGAAATGCCCAACATCCCGGCACTAATTGCTGCAAGATTGAGTGACGTATAATGTCCTCGTCAGGTATTAGATATAACATGTACTAGTGTGATTGATAACGGAAACGTGAGGGGGACATAAACCTCTTCTAAAATACGAGCCAAAGTTCTGTCAAATATGCATAGTTACTTTACCAATCAATTATAACAAGTTCAAAATTTAATGAAAAATGTGTCATTAATATTATTTCGCGTTGATAGTAATTTCCGCTAGGTAATTGGTCTGGAATGATCAACATAAATAGAAGGGCTTACTAACATCACATGAACCGACTTCATTTCTCTATGTCCTTTAATGCGGCGGATAAGTTAATTGTATCCATTGTAATAAATGTTAGGAAAGTTCAGATTAAATCCCTACGTTATCATGGTGTAACACAGTCAACACAGTAAGATGTGGGTAGTCAGTCAACACAGTAAGATGTGGGTAGTCAGTCAACACAGTAACATGTGGGTAGTCAGTCAACACAGTAAGATGTGGGTAGTCAGTCAACACAGTAAGATGTGGGTAGTCAGTCAACACAGTAAGATGTGGGTAGTCAGTCAACACAGTAAGATGTGGGTAGTCAGTCAACACAGTAAGATGTGGGTAGTCAGTCAACACAGTAAGATGTGGGTAGTCAGTCAACACAGTAAGATGTGGGTAGTCAGTCAACACAGTAAGATGTGGGTAGTCAGTCAACACAGTAAGATGTGGGTAGTCAGTCAACACAGTAAGATGTGGGTAGTCAGTCAACACAGTAAGATGTGGGTAGTCAGTCAACACAGTAAGATGTGGGTAGTCAGTCAACACAGTAAGATGTGGGTAGTCAGTCAACACAGTAAGATGTGGGTAGTCAGTCAACACAGTAAGATGTGGGTAGTCAGTCAACACAGTAAGATGTGGGTAGTCAGTCAACACAGTAAGATGTGGGTAGTCAGTCAACACAGTAAGATGTGGGTAGTCAGTCAACACAGTAAGATGTGGGTAGTCAGTCAACACAGTAAGATGTGGGTAGTCAGTCAACACAGTAAGATGTGGGTAGTCAGTCAACACAGTAAGATGTGGGTAGTCAGTCAACACAGTAAGATGTGGGTAGTCAGTCAACACAGTAAGATGTGGGTAGTCAGTCAACACAGTAAGATGTGGGTAGTCAGTCAACACAGTAAGATGTGGGTAGTCAGTCAACACAGTAAGATGTGGGTAGTCAGTCAACACAGTAAGATGTGGGTAGTCAGTCAACACAGTAAGATGTGGGTAGTCAGTCAACACAGTAAGATGTGGGTAGTCAGTCAACACAGTAAGATGTGGGTAGTCAGTCAACACAGTAAGATGTGGGTAGTCAGTCAACACAGTAAGATGTGGGTAGTCAGTCAACACAGTAAGATGTGGGTAGTCAGTCAACACAGTAAGATGTGGGTAGTCAGTCAACACAGTAAGATGTGGGTAGTCAGTCAACACAGTAAGATGTGGGTAGTCAGTCAACACAGTAAGATGTGGGTAGTCAGTCAACACAGTAAGATGTGGGTAGTCAGTCAACACAGTAAGATGTGGGTAGTCAGTCAACACAGTAAGATGTGGGTAGTCAGTCAACACAGTAAGATGTGGGTAGTCAGTCAACACAGTAAGATGTGGGTAGTCAGTCAACACAGTAAGATGTGGGTAGTCAGTCAACACAGTAAGATGTGGGTAGTCAGTCAACACAGTAAGATGTGGGTAGTCAGTCAACACAGTAAGATGTGGGTAGTCAGTCAACACAGTAAGATGTGGGTAGTCAGTCAACACAGTAAGATGTGGGTAGTCAGTCAACACAGTAAGATGTGGGTAGTCAGTCAACACAGTAAGATGTGGGTAGTCAGTCAACACAGTAAGATGTGGGTAGTCAGTCAACACAGTAAGATGTGGGTAGTCAGTCAACACAGTAAGATGTGGGTAGTCAGTCAACACAGTAAGATGTGGGTAGTCAGTCAACACAGTAAGATGTGGGTAGTCAGTCAACACAGTAAGATGTGGGTAGTCAGTCAACACAGTAAGATGTGGGTAGTCAGTCAACACAGTAAGATGTGGGTAGTCAGTCAACACAGTAAGATGTGGGTAGTCAGTCAACACAGTAAGATGTGGGTAGTCAGTCAACACAGTAAGATGTGGGTAGTCAGTCAACACAGTAAGATGTGGGTAGTCAGTCAACACAGTAAGATGTGGGTAGTCAGTCAACACAGTAAGATGTGGGTAGTCAGTCAACACAGTAAGATGTGGGTAGTCAGTCAACACAGTAAGATGTGGGTAGTCAGTCAACACAGTAAGATGTGGGTAGTCAGTCAACACAGTAAGATGTGGGTAGTCAGTCAACACAGTAAGATGTGGGTAGTCAGTCAACACAGTAAGATGTGGGTAGTCAGTCAACACAGTAAGATGTGGGTAGTCAGTCAACACAGTAAGATGTGGGTAGTCAGTCAACACAGTAAGATGTGGGTAGTCAGTCAACACAGTAAGATGTGGGTAGTCAGTCAACACAGTAAGATGTGGGTAGTCAGTCAACACAGTAAGATGTGGGTAGTCAGTCAACACAGTAAGATGTGGGTAGTCAGTCAACACAGTAAGATGTGGGTAGTCAGTCAACACAGTAAGATGTGGGTAGTCAGTCAACACAGTAAGATGTGGGTAGTCAGTCAACACAGTAAGATGTGGGTAGTCAGTCAACACAGTAAGATGTGGGTAGTCAGTCAACACAGTAAGATGTGGGTAGTCAGTCAACACAGTAAGATGTGGGTAGTCAGTCAACACAGTAAGATGTGGGTAGTCAGTCAACACAGTAAGATGTGGGTAGTCAGTCAACACAGTAAGATGTGGGTAGTCAGTCAACACAGTAAGATGTGGGTAGTCAGTCAACACAGTAAGATGTGGGTAGTCAGTCAACACAGTAAGATGTGGGTAGTCAGTCAACACAGTAAGATGTGGGTAGTCAGTCAACACAGTAAGATGTGGGTAGTCAGTCAACACAGTAAGATGTGGGTAGTCAGTCAACACAGTAAGATGTGGGTAGTCAGTCAACACAGTAAGATGTGGGTAGTCAGTCAACACAGTAAGATGTGGGTAGTCAGTCAACACAGTAAGATGTGGGTAGTCAGTCAACACAGTAAGATGTGGGTAGTCAGTCAACACAGTAAGATGTGGGTAGTCAGTCAACACAGTAAGATGTGGGTAGTCAGTCAACACAGTAAGATGTGGGTAGTCAGTCAACACAGTAAGATGTGGGTAGTCAGTCAACACAGTAAGATGTGGGTAGTCAGTCAACACAGTAAGATGTGGGTAGTCAGTCAACACAGTAAGATGTGGGTAGTCAGTCAACACAGTAAGATGTGGGTAGTCAGTCAACACAGTAAGATGTGGGTAGTCAGTCAACACAGTAAGATGTGGGTAGTCAGTCAACACAGTAAGATGTGGGTAGTCAGTCAACACAGTAAGATGTGGGTAGTCAGTCAACACAGTAAGATGTGGGTAGTCAGTCAACACAGTAAGATGTGGGTAGTCAGTCAACACAGTAAGATGTGGGTAGTCAGTCAACACAGTAAGATGTGGGTAGTCAGTCAACACAGTAAGATGTGGGTAGTCAGTCAACACAGTAAGATGTGGGTAGTCAGTCAACACAGTAAGATGTGGGTAGTCAGTCAACACAGTAAGATGTGGGTAGTCAGTCAACACAGTAAGATGTGGGTAGTCAGTCAACACAGTAAGATGTGGGTAGTCAGTCAACACAGTAAGATGTGGGTAGTCAGTCAACACAGTAAGATGTGGGTAGTCAGTCAACACAGTAAGATGTGGGTAGTCAGTCAACACAGTAAGATGTGGGTAGTCAGTCAACACAGTAAGATGTGGGTAGTCAGTCAACACAGTAAGATGTGGGTAGTCAGTCAACACAGTAAGATGTGGGTAGTCAGTCAACACAGTAAGATGTGGGTAGTCAGTCAACACAGTAAGATGTGGGTAGTCAGTCAACACAGTAAGATGTGGGTAGTCAGTCAACACAGTAAGATGTGGGTAGTCAGTCAACACAGTAAGATGTGGGTAGTCAGTCAACACAGTAAGATGTGGGTAGTCAGTCAACACAGTAAGATGTGGGTAGTCAGTCAACACAGTAAGATGTGGGTAGTCAGTCAACACAGTAAGATGTGGGTAGTCAGTCAACACAGTAAGATGTGGGTAGTCAGTCAACACAGTAAGATGTGGGTAGTCAGTCAACACAGTAAGATGTGGGTAGTCAGTCAACACAGTAAGATGTGGGTAGTCAGTCAACACAGTAAGATGTGGGTAGTCAGTCAACACAGTAAGATGTGGGTAGTCAGTCAACACAGTAAGATGTGGGTAGTCAGTCAACACAGTAAGATGTGGGTAGTCAGTCAACACAGTAAGATGTGGGTAGTCAGTCAACACAGTAAGATGTGGGTAGTCAGTCAACACAGTAAGATGTGGGTAGTCAGTCAACACAGTAAGATGTGGGTAGTCAGTCAACACAGTAAGATGTGGGTAGTCAGTCAACACAGTAAGATGTGGGTAGTCAGTCAACACAGTAAGATGTGGGTAGTCAGTCAACACAGTAAGATGTGGGTAGTCAGTCAACACAGTAAGATGTGGGTAGTCAGTCAACACAGTAAGATGTGGGTAGTCAGTCAACACAGTAAGATGTGGGTAGTCAGTCAACACAGTAAGATGTGGGTAGTCAGTCAACACAGTAAGATGTGGGTAGTCAGTCAACACAGTAAGATGTGGGTAGTCAGTCAACACAGTAAGATGTGGGTAGTCAGTCAACACAGTAAGATGTGGGTAGTCAGTCAACACAGTAAGATGTGGGTAGTCAGTCAACACAGTAAGATGTGGGTAGTCAGTCAACACAGTAAGATGTGGGTAGTCAGTCAACACAGTAAGATGTGGGTAGTCAGTCAACACAGTAAGATGTGGGTAGTCAGTCAACACAGTAAGATGTGGGTAGTCAGTCAACACAGTAAGATGTGGGTAGTCAGTCAACACAGTAAGATGTGGGTAGTCAGTCAACACAGTAAGATGTGGGTAGTCAGTCAACACAGTAAGATGTGGGTAGTCAGTCAACACAGTAAGATGTGGGTAGTCAGTCAACACAGTAAGATGTGGGTAGTCAGTCAACACAGTAAGATGTGGGTAGCAGGGATGCGTATAGTTGTACATTTACAGCTCCGATTAGAAATAATTAACATATTGTTTTGTTCGGAAATTAAGAGCACACTTTATTAGTTATGTTTTATGTATTTTCAATTTGATGGGCCCTAAAACCCAAAAAATCAGTATGCTGTTAATTGTTATTCGGAGTGGAAGTTTTAAATGAAACTAACATTTTACGTTTGCTTGTTAAAACATAGAGAATATATAGAGAAGATTGAAAGAAGCTGAAACCAATGTTATATTATCGACTTCTCCTAACAATAATTGCCAAAAATGGTATATTTTATAAGGATTCTAACATATGCCTTTTTATACCTAGAATGAAGAACAGCAAAAACTATTTGACTCTGTGCTAGAAAAGCTTTGGGAGAAACCTGAAATCCGTGACATCATGAAAAAACATGTACAGGAAGAGTTTCCCGTTGCAAAGCTTAATGATTCCACGACAAATCAAGACACGTACAAGCGAGTGTGGAAAAAAATCATAGAGATTGCACCACTCCAATCTCAGTGGATGGAGGTCGTACCTGCGCGATGGGTCGCCTTGGAACACGAGCTGGTGAGACTGAAGAATACGGAGAAGTGTATCCTGACATATGCAGAATTGTTAGAAATCAACAGCAAGTTGGCTGTGCCATTAGCAGAAGATGACGTCATGAAATTTCTGTTGTAAGTAAAAACTCCTCCAAACACATGTTGTATCAAATACGCTTCACTATATATGATATTCGTTTTAAAACAGACGTTGGTTATTTTTCAGAAACCTGAAGTTTTCCGCATCTTTCCTGTGTTTTGATCTTCATAGCAAGACACCGTTCATCGTTCTTCAAGCACAATGGATAATAGATGCATTCAAAGCCATCATCACAGATCCAAAGTTCGCTACAAAAACACTGCCGGCGAATCAGAGGCTTCAGTGGTCAGACTATGAAAGATCCGGTATTTTACCAGATGACTTCATTAAACAACTTTGGGGGCGATACGAGAAATACCGATTTTTAGAACAGGGAGACAAACTGTGCATTGTAATGGAAACTCTTGGTTTACTATCCAGACCATTGTCGGTAGGTAATGAGGTGGAGTACTTTATAGTGCCTAGTATTCTCCAAGCAGCAGATCCCGAGATAATTCGTCCGGTACTTGATGATCCAGACACTGTCAAAACTGTCGCTCTTTGCCTAAAGTTCGACAATCCATTCATCCAACAGGCCTTGTGGGACAAACTGATTGCCGCCTGCATTCACAGGTTTGAACGATTAAAAGGGTCAGGGCTTGACGGTTCAAAGATCATCCAGCGTGGATTTGCCTGTCTGCAAGTTGATTTCCTATGGAATATGATCATCAACTGCAAGGACAATGCTATGAAAGTGGTCATGTTCAGGAAGAGTAGGGATCGCAAACAACCGCTGGCAGGAACCGGAATCAACCTCCGCAAAGTGTTTGAAATTCTTCTCAATAGAATTCTTGAGATGAATTATCAAAGTCACTTAAAGTACCAATTCTACCTCCATAACGACTACCAATTTGCACCTTATGAGACAATGGTGAAGGAAGAACATCTCCAGCAAACCACCGAAAGTCTGCAATGCGGCGGTAAAAATGGGCCTGGATGGATAGACAGAGATGATCTCTACATTTGGTTCGAGGTACTTTAGGGTTAGGGTTAGGGTTATACTTTATACATTATTTTCATAATTGATTAACGATTTTACATCATACTTTTCTTTAAAAAATCAGTGTTGTTTTACAGTTTTTGTGTTTTATAATTCTTGATAAATCAAACGATCTTATTGTTATTCCTGGTGAGGTATTTGTATTGAGCTATTGATTATTCTGCTTTCTGGCTTTTGTAGATGAAGAGGACTGATGACCGTCGTTTTGGTAAGCAAGTATCATTACAAATATATAAAAAAAAAATATGTAAAAATTAATTGGTTGGCCTGCAAGTGGGCGAATGAACGTGCAATCGAGCGTCTACACTAATGCCTTAAAATATCACTTACTCCAACTAGGAGGATATAATTCTGACGTCCGATCTTGCTATCATTATTGACCATTCGCTATCAATTAATTAATTAATTTCCTAAACATGTAGTGCTGTTAGTTTAGATCAGATTTGTATATTGATATCAATTTATGTTGGTTAGTTATGTTTGTTATAGATAAAACAACGAAACAGTTGTCTCCCAAAGAGATGGGAAGGATCTCCAGATACGTCGGGGAAGCATACTACACGTTCTTTATCGAACTGGATTGTCCGGTAGAGATCATGGAACAGGAAATGAAAGAGCACCACCATCTCGCGTTTAGATCCCGCATCACGAAGATCTTCTTGCATCTTCTCAAAATAAAGAAGGATGTATCTTTCGCGACTATAGCTGATGCCATGTCAAAACACGGGATGGATCCTACAAAACTCAGTAACATTATTGACTCTCAGAGCAACGTGAAAAACTCTTATGGTAAGGAATGTGTCTATTGGCATTAATTTGTTCTCTTGTAAACTCGAACTTTTCTCTCCATCTCATTGTTCATCTTTTTTTTATATTTTGTTGAAAACATCTCTTATACGAAAGGAAATTTGCAACAGGCATTGCCAATGCAAGCTTTGTCCTATTTTTTGTGCTCTTCTTCTTTCTTTAATTTAGCATCTGTTAATAGCAATAGTCGTTTGTGTCATTCCTAAAGGAGAGAGTAAAATTTCGGGAAAATATCAAGTTTGTGATTCCCCTAGATAGGCCCAATTCCCGCGGTGAAATATCGAGAACCCGGAAGCTTAGTTCATCTCTAAAGCTCGCATCTTCGCCACATTTGTATTCATTTCCGAATTTGAATAACACTTTCAGGAAAAATCACATGTATGTTTAGTTATATTTATCTATTGTTACTTGTTTATGTTGTTTTCTTTACTAATTGTACGAAGTTATTTCTTCCCAGGTGACACGTTACCTACAAAATGGTTGCAGCAGTGCCTTTCTGTTAACGATGCTAAAAGCATTGCCGAATGGGTAGACATTAAGGCATATTTTAATATGTTCCTGGAGCTGGGTTTCCCACCCGCAAAGGTGGATGATTTCGACGACCAATACAGGAACGAGAAAACCCGGGTGAAGGTCACTGCCATGCTTGAAGCGTTCATTTGTGAGATCAAGCCCTGCCCAACTGTGAACAAAATTCTTCTGGCGATGCAAGAATGCGATATGGACACCGAACCTGTCATCAATGCATTTAAACAAAGGTAGTGTTATTGTAAAGTTATGTTTTGATTTGCTGTGTTGATTTCCGATAAACAGAAAGTGTTCTTCAGATCTACCACTAATTTCTTTACGTCCAAGGCGTTGCAGTGGATAGCGCACTTGCCTTCACCANCCCCCCACCCCCACGCGCTAATATTCGGGCCAACAAAAGTGATTAATATAAGCTGATATAACTTTTACATAATTGTTCTAAAATTAATAAAGTTTATAGAGAAGAAGCTGAAAAACGATTTTTTGACATTTGACCCCTTTCACCTTGAACGTCGGTCAAGGTCATCTATTTTCACAAGTTTTATAGCCAATTACCTGAGCACCTTATTAATGAAATATCTAGCCCAAGACCTTGTAGACCTTGAGAAGAAGATTTTTTTAAATGTGTTACCCAAAATTGCACTTTTGAAATTTGACCCCTACCGAAAACCGGAAGTTGACTTTTGAAACAGCATTTTCTTATTGCAATCAAAAGCAATTGATAGCAGTATGCTACTAAGCAAATATCATCGCAATGGGTTTCTTGATTATCTAGTAGGTTGGTCGGGTGGTGCAGTGTATAGCGCACTTGCCTTTCACCAAGGCGGCCGGGATTAGATTCCCCGATCGGACGTGAAAAGGTTGGGTCACCTGCCCGACCACGTGGGGTTTTTGCGGGTTCTCTGGTTTCCTCCCACACTAAGACCCCCCACACGCGAACATCCGGGCCAACAAAAGTGATTAATATAAGATGAAATAACTTGTTTCATAATTGTTGTAAAATTAATAAATTATTGGAAAGAAGCTGTAAAACGATTTTTAGACATTTGACCCCTTTCACCTTGAAAGTAGGTCAAGGTCATCTATTTTCACAAGCTTGATAGCCAATTGCCTGAGCACCTTATATATGAAATATCTAGACCCAAGACCTTGTAGACCTTAAGAAGAAGATTTTTTAAAATGTGTTACTCAAAATTGCACTTTTAAAATTTGACCCCTGCCGAAAAAGAAAAGTTTTACACAAAAATGTTTCCTGAAAAAAAGTTTTCTTTTGTTAATGTCAAAAACATATCCAAAGATGAATTTAATATGTTCAGCCATCAAGGAGGTATGTTTATTAAGGTAAAAACAGATAGCGTCCATTTCGTTTTTTCAAAGAAGTCAAGAACCTTATCATTAGAAACACTATCTGGGGAAGCTTGTATGCGATAAATAATTGAAAAAATGTTAGACGGATAGTTGAGAAAAATTGATTTTAACATATTGTCAACATTTCAAAAAGATAAAAGGAAATTTTTAATATGGCGTACAGTGCAAACGGAAAACGTTATAGAAAAACTGAAAACAGTTAATTCATCGAAATAATATACTACATTGATTTCAAAATGATGTTTTGAAAAATGAAAAAGTTAAAAAAAATGGTGACATTTTGACCCAACAGCGAGGATTTTATTTGATTTTTTTTGTGATAACATGTAATAAAAAAAAGTTAGCCCTGACAAATATCTACAAATAATATACGTATATGACTTGTGTACAATCAACAGTTTTTGAGTTATGGCTATTTTAAGATTTTGACCTATGACGTCATGGCGGCCATATTGGATTATTAACCTACTTGAAAATGTCACAATGACACCTTTTGACGTTGGCCTACAATATACGTATAAGACACATCTGATACCAATCAAAAGATTAGGTGGCCCCAAAATCAGGGAAGGAGAATAAGAAGAAGAACAATAAGAAACATAACAATTCCAAGGTCTCTTCACCAGTTGATTAAAAACCCTTATTATATAAATATCAATAAAACTATGTTCTACGTAACACATGCCAGTGCATTCTTTAGTAGTATCCTTATTTTTAATGTTTTATTGATTTTAGATTAAAGAAGTATTCATTGACGAAAGAGTGACGTGTGAATGACGCACTTTGTCACGGATAAAGATGGACCAGATGCAGTAAGACGTATATAGACAGTAAAGATGAGGATGAACCTATTTGCTTTATTAGGACACTTACGTTATAGTAAATGTATGCATTTAGATGTGCGCTCAAATACAGAAGAACTGTGTACCGTAATGTAATTGATAACAATATGATATGCAGATTCATGGTACCAACGAGAGAAAAAGACAAAGACAGAGATAGAGAGAGACAGAGATAGAGAGAGACAGAGACATGATTATTAAATTTCAAAATATTTATTTCATTTAGAAAAATCCTTATTCATGTAAAGTGTGTTCATCATATGTTTCCATTTATGTGAGTGATATTGCTATCGCATTTAAAGATATCTCATTGTATGTAATGATATTATTTGATTATAGCCTTTGGCTGAGGTCGATACCTGGATTTATCGACTCGCGAAAAGATATATGGACAGAGGACGCAGTCCAAGGTCTATATATCTTTTCTCGAGTCGATAAGTCCAGGTATTGACCGAAGTTAAAGGCTACAATTGTTTTATTATTTTACAAAACAGTAATGCAAGCAATCTGAAAAAAAAATTTCGGAAGTGGGACGGTGCACTGTAGCGTGCCAATATGTGAAAATAGGAAAAACTATATGGAATTCGTTAATTACTGTGTTTAAATCACTTATTACTAAAACTAACTTTAATGTGAACCATATCAACTAATTAAATCCACTAATAAGCAAAAAAATGTTTTTCCACTTTTCACGAATTGGGTTGCACATGATAAGATAAATCCTATCAACCCAATATGTGAAAACATGAAAAAAAATATAAAAATTCCAAAATAACTTTCTGTTTATTACTAATTATTCATAGAAGCTCTAATGTGAACAATTTCCACTAATAAGATAGACTCATTAGCCAAAATATACAAAGATTGTTGTTTCACTTTTCACGAATTGGGTTGCACATGATAGGATAAATCCTATCAACCCAATATGTGAAAACATGAAAAAATGTTTTAAATTCCGTAATAACTTTCTGTTAATAAAATATTATTCAAAGAAGCTCTAATGTGAACAATTTCCAAATATAAGATACACTAATTAGCCAAAATATACAAAGTTTTTTGTTCACTTTTCACGAATTGGGTTGCACATGATAGGACAAATCCTATCAACCCAATATGTGAAAACATGAAAAAAAAATTAAATTCCGTAATAACTTTCTGTTAATTACTAATTATTCAAAGAAGCTTTAATGTGAACAATTTCCACCTATTAGATAAGTAATTAGCCAAAATATACAAAGATTTTTTTTTCACTTTTCACGAGTTGGGTTGCACATGATAGGACAAATCCTATCAACCCAATATGTGAAAACATGAAAAAATGTTTAAAATTCCTAATAACTTTCTGTTAATTACTTATTATTCAAAGAAGCTCTAATGTGAACAATTTCCACTAATTAGATACACTTGTAAGCCAAAATAAACAAAGTTTTTTTTTCACTTTTCACGAATTTGGTTATTGTGTTGCACATGATAGGACAAATCCTATCAACCCAATATGTGAAAACATGAAAAAAATGTTTAAAATTCCGAAATAACTTTCTGTTACAGACCCTGGATCGTTTTTCTTTACCAAAGGTGCGTTGCGTTTCCGTTGTGTTTGCGTTCCGTTTCCGTTGCGTTTGCGTTGCGTTTGCGTTGAGTTTGCGTTGACCGTTTGTTGTGCGTTTTAACTTCAGCGTTGAATGTGCGTTGAACATACGTTTTGCTGGTTATGTAAGAAAACGATCGATGTGCAGGTTATTTTAAGAATATGTGAGTGCTGACAGGTTTTTATATAAAAAAATAGTTATACGGATTATAAAGTTTGCAAATTAAAAACAAAATAAATATACAAATAAAATAGATAAATACAGGAAATAATCGGACGTTTGTTTAGCAAATATTTGGGCTGCGTCGTGTGCTGATTGATAGATGCATGTCTATACACGTACCTTAATTGGCCAGTAAAATTTTAAGTAGAAAATAATTGAGTAATTAGTTATTTGTATATTTTAAATATTTAATTTCCATACTGATATCATTCTGTTCATATGAATATATGAATCAAATAACACTAAATCTTCAAATACTTCCATCACTAATGGGCTGATGGCTTCGTAATGACACCAGGGTAGTCTGGATTGAAGATATATAATTAGTGCGTCTAAACGGCGAATTTCATTTTATAAAATATTTCTAGTTTTATCTC